ACAATAACTCAACAACGCCGTAACCGAATTTCAAAAACCAAACATGAAATGATATCAGAATTTAACGTAGCATCTGAATATGTAATGATATACAGGGCGTTCTATTTTAAAAAATGGAATTTTGGTCTGTAGCACCTACACCAAACACCCTGTATATTTAAAAATTATATCAAAATATAGCTCTCATGAACTCCTGAAACTTTTGTATGAAACATTTTTGTGTATTTCCTTCAACAAACCAGATATTGCCTGTCACATAAAATGTGGGACACCCGGTATTCTTGGATAGTAATTTTGAGTTTCATCGAAAATTACTGTATCTTTGAATGAGATAATGTGATTACCTGTTTTTGAGAGCAGCTGATTTGTCGGAAGCGACAATTTCTCTTGTGTTCAGAGCGATGGGAAGAAAGCTTTTCTCCTAACCGTACCTATACGTTTTTTCGTGGTTCCAATGTAGACGAAACGTCATGCATAAAAAACTTGCAGACCACGGCCAAAAAACCCGGAAAATAGCTTTGACAAAGTGTTGTTTTATCTCTGCTCTTCATCATTTGTGTTCGTTTTTGGAATTGACACTTGTACAATTTGTATCGCTACTCAGTAGAGCAATATTGATACTCACCAATTATGGCATAACCATACCCAACTTTGTCGGTGCCCATCCTGTATGAAGAGGTGGGAATCAATATCTCGTACATGTCCGTCATTCCGAGGGTAAACTCGAAAATCTGCTGGTCTTTTGGCGTGACGGGCACGATTTGAAAATCCTGACGAAGCAGAGCATCGGTGCTGATTATCATCGATTTGTGTTCATGAGCGGTGAACAACAGATGCGGCATCATCTTTTCGATCACCTCCAAATCAAATTCAACTAATACAAAAACAGTTGTTCACGTTATAGGAAATATCAATATTATTTACCAGTCGAGAACAAATTGAATTCAAAGGCAAGCAGTAAGAGAAGAAATGTCTAGCTAGGTTCCTGGAAGTGATTTACAATATACAGGGTGTCCCTGGACTTCCTCTTTTCCTCTCGGGAATGTATAGATGGGGTCAAAATATCACCAGTACTTCATATAACTTTTTTTCCTAAAAGTCTTCGTAACCAAGTTACTGGCCCTCGAAGTTACAAAATGAAAAATGTTTTTCTTTGATAACTTTTCAAGTGAATATTCAAAATCATCCAAATTTTGGTAAT